CAATATAATTAGATTTTGATGAAAATAAGCTGTGAAATTAATCCTCTTGTCAATCTAATCAGTCCTGAAGAAAGAAATTTTTTTTAGAAGAAATCTTTAAATAATAAAAATAAACGATTATTTATTTCAATAAAAAATTGAAATGTTGCGTGCATGATTTTTATTGGTTAATTTCGCTTGATTTTTTGTGATACAATAATAGCCAATGATAGGATTTTTATCTATGCTACTTTTTGCCTGGTTTTTTGTTGCAGCATGCCAATGTTATTATGTTCAACTATTCGCGCATCGACAATTTTAAGTCGACGCATTGCACTATCTCGAAATTTTACTACTAAACTCGCATCAATGCAACCTGTGAATACAAAAAATACAACACAGACTAATGTCATAAACAGTAAACATGATAATTTGAGTAATATTCCAATAGAGTTACTTTATACTTCTCATCCAAAGCCAATTCGACACGAAATTATTGAATCAAAGGAGCCATTGAAAACCAAAGATCTTGAAAACTTAGATATTAAGCTTACTCTCCATCGTGAACCTGCTACTATTTCGGATAAAATTGCTTTTGGGATTGTGAAATTATTAAGACTGCCTACAGATTGGTTCTTTAAAAAGAAATACATTCATAGAGTTGTAATGTTGGAAACCGTAAGTAAAAATTCCAATAAAAAATAAATTTTTATTATCCTTAATAAAACATTCGTGCATTAAAAATGATATAGATTGCTGCAGTCCCTGGTTTAGTAGGAGGAACTATTCGACATTTGAAATCACTTAGAAAGTTAAAACATGATGGTGGCTGGATTGAACATTTACTTCATGAGGCTGAAAATGAACGGCAAGCAATTCATTAAATTTGGCGTCTATCCACTTTATCTATTCTATTCTAAGATAGTTTTTATTTTTTTGCTAATTAGTATGCATTTAATGACATGGATGCGTATTTCGCAGCCAAAAGTATGGGAACGTGCATTGATAACTCTTGTTCAAGGTGTTTTCTATAATGCTTTTTTTGCTTTATATCTCTTTAGTCCAAAAACTGCCCATCGAGTAGTTGGATATCTTGAGGAAGAAGCGGTTGTCAGTTACACTTCATTTCTGAATGGTATTTTATAACATTTTAAACATATTTAATATCAATATATTTTGGTAATAATGCTTATTAAATTATATTTTAGAAATTGATAATGGTAACATTGAAAATCTTAAACCAGTTCCAGATATTGCTATTGATTATTGGCATTTAGATCCTGAAAATGCCACATTACGTGATGTAGTACTTGCAGTTCGCGCTGATGAGGCTGCACATCGTGACACAAATCATCATTTAGCCGATCGCGTTATTTTAGGAAGGGAGGATTTACGTGAAGATATTAAGAAAATATTTGATGACAGTGAGGAGAGTGGTAGAGCACGTAGAATGGCTGGGGTTAATCAAAATGCTCAAGATAAATGGAAACGCTAGATAATAATAAATAAACAAACAACCCTTTTATTATATATAGTATTTAGTTAAATCGTGGATAAAAGTAAACGAATGAATAAACAAGAGCTTTCATTATCCAAGGTTTATTGGTTCGTGATTAACGCGTATATATTTATGTGGTGCGTGTAAATATACATCTTTAATTTCTTATTTTATACCTTACTTATTCTATTTCTCATTCCAATTTACAACTTCCAATCCATCTTACCATCATCACCATTGTAATCACCTGATGATGATAAATATATCTCTTTATAAATATGCCTACCATTTGGATTCAAAATTTTTTGCAGTTCAATAAATAAAGAAACCATTATCTCAATCATTTTCCTCTTTACGATCATCACCACCATCATCAACTGTCTTATAACTTTATGGATTTTGCACCAAATGTAATGACTATCATCTTCATATTCTCATCTTCTTGAATGTTCAAAATCACATTCATTTATCCTGCCAGTTATGTTAATTGGTACAACTTGTACAGTAGTTAATTCTTGTATAAATATATATGTGGTGATAAGATGAGGAAGCAGCATAGAAGATATTGCAATGTTGGAACAATTAATGAATACTCACAAAATTGTGTATGGTGTTTCCAACAAACTATGCTTGTGCAGCTCATAGAATTATCGATGGCAAGATAACTAGTATAAAAGTACATGGTACCGTTGAGTGTATCAACCCGTCATGTATTTCATTCAAGTATTGCAATACTATAAAGTCTCGGAATCCTCGTCCAGCATCAAGATTTGTTTTTCACTTCTCATTATACTTTACTACCCTTCTCAAGAACCTATACATCTATATAGACCACATCAGTCAATATATACTTGACAACACTTCCTCAACACACACTCAGGATCTAATGTGAATCTCTCCTGATCAGCGAGATTTAACAAAATAATTTGCCATTCGTTATATATTTTCCACTTGTTAATCTGTTAAATAGACTATAAAGGAGCTAATATTTAAGCAATTAAATAAACCGTTTAAAAGACTGTTAAATAGACTGATTAAATAAACTATCAATTGGACTATTAATTAATTAATCCACCAAATATACCTCACCTCATCAACTTATCCTATTAATAAATAAATTTATATTACCACTAATAAACTTAATACCTGTGAGATTCCACAAGCTCCAATTGATATAGTTCCAGTAATGGTCTGATAGCTACCTAAGCTACTCAAAGCCAAATTATAATTTTCAAATAATTCTCGAGATTTTTATTCCGGCCTCAATTGTCACCAACTTTTTCCTCAGAATCATCACCAACAATAACAATAAATATACGATCCAATCCATTTATCATGAATCCGTTGGTATATCCAATATCTGATGATGAGTGCCCTGATCAATTTCGAATTTCGGTTTCTGATGACTAATTTTTCTATTCCACAATTCTATAATCTGAATACAAGTGTGAAATTTGCTTGTGTAACTAATTATTCAATATAATTTTATATATATAAATGTCTTTATAATAATAAAATGTCAAGCATCAAAGGACCCAATTCTTCAAATGAATTTAGTCGAATTCTTTATGATATTGATGTGGTCGCTATATGGAAGCCTGATGATGAACAGTTAACTGATCAGGAGACTTCTTATGCCAGTGGAAGTGGCACTGATCCTTCTTACTCGCAATTTCCAAGGCGTGTTTTCAAACATGTCAAATATCGACTAGTGCGTAGCTTAGAAGGGCTAGTTATTTCTACTACTGTTCCTCCTGCTCTACTACAAACAAAACCTGACTTCACAAGTGAGTGGCTAATGCAACTATCTCCGAATGGTCAATATTTGGCTGTTTTACAGGAACATAAATTAGAAATTAGAACAAGCAAGAGTGGGTTTGAAACTAATCATGCTATTTTTCATTCTAAAAGAGAAGCTTTCCCAAAATGGAGAAGAATTGCTTGGAGTTTAGATTCAAAAATTCTTGCCACTTCAAGAAGTGATGGTACAATTGAAATAATTGATGAAAATGGCCACTTAATCTATTCTATTTCTCCCAGTTTAAATGTGAACACTGAAACAAATAAAGACCTCCAAAATCAACCACAATCACAACAACAAGCTAGTTCTTCTTCAAGTTTTTTCCTAGAACCTGTAGCTTTTTTAGCATTTGTTGATCCCAAACGTGGCTCCAACAAACAATTTTTTAATTATGAAGGTTATCATTACAAACATGAACTATTGGTCATCACTTATGATGGTATTTTACGCAGTTATCTACTTAATAGTCCAGATGATTTAATGCCTTCAAATTCTCATCATTATGTAAAAAAAACTAACATGACTTATTCATGGGAGGGTTCCTCGGATCCTGGATATTTTGTTTTTTATCACAAATATTCTTTTAAAAAATGGTTGTCTACAATTGTTTGTGGGGCTGTTGTGACAAATAATGGTTTATTACTTTATTTAGGTGGAAAAACTAATAATAGTAATATTATTAATGATGATGATGAAAATGAGGGAAATAGTAGTGTTGAATCTTCCTCTGTTACTTGTTGGGTAATGTTATCAGATAGACCTTATTATCGTAGATTAGAATTGGAAGGAACCATTGATGATTCTGCAGATGACATATCCAATTTGAGTCAAGGGGTAATTGATACAGGGTTATTTTCCCGAATACAAAGTATTTTTGTAACTTGGGGCAAGAGAAATAAAAATTTCACTGATAAAATAATCCATAGCATGATACTTTCACATGATCAACAGAAACTTTTAACGTTGGATTTTTCTGGTTGTGTAAAATTATGGAAAGTTTCTCATAGTAAAGGCGTAGATCTTTGTCATTCATGGAATCAAACTGAACTTAATTATTTTGCTAGAAGCAGAGAATACAAAGATCTTTCATATGAACAATTTATTAAAAAAATTTCAGATATTGAATGTGAAGGTGGTAATGTATCTGGAATTTCCGGTTTGGATAATGGCAAGGTATTTACAATAGGTTGGTGGACAAATGAAGCAATCATATTAGGATATCAGCATGGCTCATTAATTATTGCCAGCCTCCCTGACATGTATAATATATTAGGTGATTCTCCCGAGTCATTTAAATCATGTCTAGAAATTGCATGCCAGTCTGGCAATCGATTTTTGGTCATCGAGCATGAATTTAAAACAATTAGAGCACGTGTTCATGGTGATAATGTGATATCATATTCAAGAGCACAAGAAGAAGGTGTACCAGATGAAGATGAGTTTGATGATTCAAAATCATATTTATTGCAAATTTTACGTACAATCACCGACTCACTTCATTATATCACTGATACACTTTTATGGCATTTTGAGAGTGATTCTTCAACAATTCGTGGTAAGTTTATTACAATTTCCAAAAGGACATTTAGGCTCAATCGAATATCCAAAATTTTACCACAAGAACTTCTACATCGTAAAATAAATGCACTTGAATATGATGATGCTTTGAAAATTGCAGAAACATATAATTTAGACACTGATATAATTTATCAGGCTCGTTGGCGTGATTCTGACATATCAGAAAATTCTATTCATGATTATCTCGACAAAATACATGATTGGGAATGGGTACTTTCCACATGTATTAATAGAATACCTAAAACTCCTGATATGATTCGTAATTTGTTGAAATATGGCTTGGATCATACAGATATTTTAGATGAGATGTTTTCCATAGACTCCATCAACAAAAATTCTGAATCTAAATTGGAATTGATTAAAAAAAATTTACGAGAAAAACCTATTAATTTAGACAGTAGCATGGAAGAGGAGATCGTGTCAAAAATAAAATTTTCTGATAATCATATTTTAATATGCCGATATAGATTTTATTTTTTGAAATTTCTCGATAGGCTACACACTTATGAAGATATAGTGGAAGAAAAAAAAAGGTTAAATATTGAAAATGGATTAATGGATGCTTTAGAAGAAAATGGTAATTGGGTAGCATTTGTAGATTATTATTCAAAATTTGCAGAAGACTATGCTTCATTTCGAGAAGGAGATATTAATATAAAAGCAATTTTGTTTGCACAAGATGAATTTTTTAAAGGATTACATATTTTGTTTACTCGGCATGGTTCTGAAATTTTACCATATCGTTTCAATGTTCTTGAAAATATTCCCGAGACAGCAGATCCTGATGATTATGAAAGTTTTTTGCCAAGTATGGTGACCATTGATAATAAAGAACCTATTGAAAAGTTATGGGATGAAAAACCATGGAGAGAAGCAGATTGGGTTGAAAATCCTATAATAAAAAAAAAATTTTTTTTTGAAGAACAAGTTGAAGATGACTTGGGAGTGGCTTTATTAAAACCGATCGCATATCCAGCACCATCTTCGATAATAACTCAATGGTATATTGACAGAGCACACAAAATCGATAAAATTTCTGGTCAAGTTGACAAAGCCTTGACATTTATTCATCATGGGATTAGTAAAGGTGTCAAAGGATTAGAAACAATAGAAGAAAATCTTGGAATGTTATCCAATCTTGTTTATGAATGTTATCCGGAATTAGAATCTATTGGGAATATTATGACATTAGAAGAATTTGAAGCATTATCTGAATATGATATTATCCAAGCGTTTCTCAAGCATACAAATGAACTTCGAATCATAGACGATGTTAAAAAATTTGTTATACCTTTTTTAAATTTGTTGCCTAAACGTCAAGCACGTCAAAAGATTCATTCGATTGATGGTGATGATAATAATAAACATATTGTTAGATTTGAAAAGCCAATTGAATTATTATATGATTATATATTGGAATTGTCATCAACACGTCTAGATTTGGTTCAACTTATTTTTGAAGCCTCGATGCCAGTATTAGATGAGGATGATAGGATTATTAAATCAGATATTGATTTAGCTAGTGTTGCATTATCAGTTATATACGGTAATCCAAATGTTAATCAATGGGAAGTAATGAAAAATATTCATGGATATCTTCCATATTTTGAATATTTTGAAATGGATGATTGTGATTCAGATTGTGTTGATGATATTAAAAATATAAAGAATTTTGTACCGAAAGAGTTATTTACTATTTTTAAAAAACTAGATGAAAAAAATTTGCAGCTAATGATCAATTATTTAGAAAGTCATTTGAACGCAGCAGAAATTTTTTCACGCTATAATAATTCAGTAGATATGAAATGGTTTTTGCAAAGTAAAGATGACTACAAAATGCAAAAACAATTGTGTGTAAGATTAGCACGTAAAACAGGGGAGATTAAAGTTGGTAATGATACAAATAATAGTGATGGAGATAAGTGGAAATTATTGTTAGAAGAAATGATAAAGCTACAAGGTAAAGGAGGAGTTTTAGAAAAAATAAGTATCGAAGAAATTTATAAAGAATTTGCTTCAGGACTATTAAGTAGTGGCAGGTTTCGATTTGCGCAAGAAATATTATTGCCAAGCGATAAAACACCACCTTTAGAAGCGGATGTGGCCGAGAAACTTGTTGTTGATGCATCAAGAGAATTTTTTGATAACGCGACTACAGGAAACAAAAACCAAGGATACATGAAAATGGCATATGAATGGTAAGCTTTTTTACCATCTTATAAATTATTATTATTGCGATGATTAAATTTTCATTCAGATATCATTATTTTATTTATATTTTAGTTTACAAATTTTACCAAAAACCAAAGCCATAAGTTTAGAAATGGAATTTATAGAGGCAACGCATATATTAACAGAAAATAAAGTTCAACATCAAGCAGGAATACCGCTTTTACCAATGCAAATCCGACTGTCGACAAATCGATTAGAATTGATCTCAAGGTTATTAAGCGTAAATGAAAAAGCATATTTAGAGATAGAGACAATTATGGAATTAGCAAGTAAATTAGGATATAAGAATGACAAAATAGCAGAAGTTAAAGTGATGGCAATGATAGCAGACTCTGCACTAAGAGATGTTAACTTTAGCGTAGCATATCAAATGTGCATTGAATTGATTGATATTGCTAAAGGGATTATCAATAAAAAATACGATAATGATAATGAAGTTATTAGGTCAGTTAAAGATGTTTCATGGAGAATTTGTTATGAGGTAGCTAAACAAGATAACTTTGCAGATCTGGAAAAACAAATGTCATTAATGGGATATGCATTGACCATGTGCCCTAAAGAGCAAATAGCAGATATTCTTAATTTATGGAGAAAGATTGATTCTGAATATCAGAATTATAAAATGGAAAAAATCAAATTATCAGAAAAATATTTAACAGAAAAAATCAAACCAGCAGTTGTAGCAGCTGAGGCTGTTGAATCGGTATTGATTGCACCATTATTACAGGGAGATAGAATAAAAAATTTAGTCAGTGGATGGTTTGGTTCATGAGAAATTTTCTTTGATATAATTAAAAATTTTACTATGTATACATTAATAATAAATAATATATGGCGTCTTCACACGCACCAACTTTTGTATAGAATTAAAAATTAACTTTTTTGTATCAATATTAATATTAATATTACATTTCGATTTTTCGTAAGCTAAGGTTGCTCATTTATAACCGGATTCAACTATTCCATCATTCTTTGGTGAAACTGGTGAAATTTTGATGGATCAAATTAAATTTTTTAAAAGTTTTATTTTAAAAAGAAATACAAGATAATATTCTCGAACCATATTATGATTATGTATTTGATACATCTGATGCTGAAAATAATTCTCTTTACTTCTGATGATTTATCATCAAATAGTATTGAAACTAATTTTCCAATAAAAAATGTAAACATTCAGGTAGCAGAAAGAACCTGGGAATATGTAAATAAGAAAGCACTATTGGGAAATGATCATTATAAAGCCTCTTGAAGACCACATGATTTAAAAATACATTTATCAAGAATTTGAGTTAGAAATGCTTCTCTACCTAAAAGAAAACAATTAAACATAAAACAGCCAAACATTACCAATCTTTTTCAACGTATTACTCCTAAAAAAGTTCAATCGGTGGATCAGGTTATCTTAAAGGCTTGGATTTGTTGTAGTTCTCCTTTTCATACTATAGAAAATCGATTTATTTCAAATTGCTGTATTTGGATGTGAGATTATCATAACACGAAGAAATGATTTTGATAAACCAAAAGTCATTAAAAACGGGACATGTTCTCCGAATTATGAAATATCATCGAAAACCTACCAAATCAAATTACAAACTATACAGTTCTTTTCGATAAACCTGAAGAACGTTGAGCAACCAGTAAGTAACGAGAAAAGAAGATGAGCGATTAAACAAAACCTGGAAGGAATCAAAGGTTATCGGCCGAAAGTTCATCATTTACTGAAAGAAAAGAGAAGCAGACAAGAGAAAAGCAAAGAAGGATCAAGAGGATCAAAGGAAACAAGAAACGATGAAAATAATGAAACGATATAACAATATAACAAAAAATACAAAAACTTGGCAAATTCCCGTTCATAGAAAATTTTACTTTGATCAGAAAAGAAAATTAGCAAAAGAAGTTTTCGACTAAAGAAAAAAATAAGTATATACATAAAGAGGTTAGCAAACAAAAAATTAAACAAATAAGCAGAAGAAAGAAGCATCTTGTTTGAAATTTATGGTAAAAGAACATCGAGAAAACAGTTTCCTCTTCAGAATTCATCCCCCGACTGTTCATAAAACTCAAGGATTAACCCTGCCGCACGTAACATTGAACATTGATGAAAATATGTTTGCTGTATGTTGCAATGAGTCGAACTCCCTAATTAGAAAAACTACAGATCCTTGATTTTGATTATTCTCAATTAAAAATTTCGAGGGTAGTTTTAGAAGGGCATAAAAGATTAGAGGCCATGAGTATTGATGGGTTGCAAAACTATCAATGTTGTAAAAGAAAATATATTTTGCATTGATTGATTATTTTTCAAAAAATTCCACATTAACATTTACTTGTGTAATTGATAATTACAACCTCCTATTGAAATTTTTGTTAATCAAGCACTCTAAAAATTGATTGAGAGAACCCAACTTATCGAGTTTACCTGTTCGTATATATGGTCACGTTGATATTTCACGCATAGTAAAAATTTTACAATCGTATGACTTCCAATCCCTTGTTGTATTAGAGTCTCCATCAAAATTGAGATGCGTCTTTTTTTATACATAGAAAATTGTCAAAGCGTATCAATTGCAAGCAAAAGACGAATTGTATGATCAAATAATTATCGTTTACAGATTCCTGTCCATGTTGTCCACTTATATATGTCTTTATATTAAAATTATTTATTTTAAAAATAAAATAATATATAGATAGGTTTATTATAAATAAAGACATTAAAATTTTCTTTTATATTTTATTCCTACAATGATAAACGATTAAATAAAAAGGCAAAGATGTTTATTTTGTATATTATTCCATTTACGTGGTATTTTTTTTTTCCGAGAATAAGAATAAATAACAGCGAGGTAGTAAGTTGCTTTCAAATATTTTGTATATGTTTTTTGGATGATTAAAAGTAATAATATAATAATAACGATTATTAGTAAGAAAAAAATAAAATTTGCGCATAATATAAAATTTTTATATAAGAAACATCACTATTAATGGTTCGATTTTCAATGAATAGATTTATATCTGAACCAATGTTAAATTTATCCGTCAAGATTATATCGTAGCCAGATGTCAAGACTTTTTTTTTGCTTCAGAGGTAAAATTATTTTTGGATGGTGCTACTAGAATACCAATAGTAAGTCGAGGATATTTAGCTAGCTCGTTTTCCCAGTCACGTACATCACCCGCCCTTATAATAAAAAAATTTAATTATAACAACAATAGATAAAAAATAATAATAATAAAATAATTTACCAATGCTCGCTCTGTTCTTGCAGTGTATTAAAATAGTATTTCTCCTGATCCCTCCAACGAAATCTATTACTGGGCCATCACTATAAATTGCAAATAAAATAAATAGTGAGCATTTGTGTCATCATTGTCGAGAATCGTTATCCCAGAACCTAGCCAACGGTAAATAGAATATCCAACTAGTAACTTTCGCAAACTGTGGTCATGAAATGCTTCCAGCTCTCCCTCCATTTTTAATTCTAGTGGCAGCGTAACTTCAGATACATAACAACTCAACAAAGAAAAAATACTCACATTAATGCTTGACAATTCTCAACAAATCATCTTGACTTTCCATTTTAAAGGTATTTTCATTGACGTCGGACATTATTAATATTTCAGCAATTATAGGTTTTAAACAGTTGGTTAAGATTTTTATTTTTTTAAAAAAAGGGGTTGGATTGCATATTTACAGGGACGATGAATTTCTGCGGCGTAAAAATCAAAATCTGCTATATATAAAACAAATAATTCTTATTCGAATTGCTATTAGAAAAAAAAATACATCTATCACCATTGGCTAAAGAAAAGAAAAGAAAAAATGTCCATTACTTTTGTTACTATTATTATTATTATTATTATCGCTACAAGGGCTACAAGGGAAAATAGAACTGATTAACAATATCAGTTATATTATTCATTTATTTGAATTGTTGCTTTATTCGAATAGAAACTCTAACCCTATTTCCATAGATCCAACATTAATGAAATACATGTAAAAACGAAAATCGATAAATTTTTTTATATAATAAGACTTCAGTGCTGGCATTTGGCTGTTTGGACAAATAAATCATGGTGGTTTTAGAAAATTACAGATTAACGATTTCCTTCCTTTTTATTATATATTATTTCTTATTATTCTTATTAACCATTTCTTATGTTGTTCACTCTTCCTTGTATTAAAACATCAAAGAATGCCTCATAAATATATTAATTATGTACAACTTTTATCTGAACAAGCAGATAAATGGCAAAGACATATCGAATCAAATACATCCCGCATTAGATAATACAGCAAAATGGCAAATAAAAAAATATTTTGCTGATAATCTGGAAATTCTATTTAAAGCTCCGAACGAGCCGAACTGAAACTCGAAATTTCGAGTTCGAATCAAACGTTCAGCTGGAGTCTGACTCCACATAATTTTTTTTAAGTAACGAATGATTAATTTTATTTATGCACATTACCTAAAAAACAATTTAAGAGCCTATGTTCTTGAACTCAGCTCGAACTTGAAAATTCAAGTTTTAACTCGAGTCTGCTCAACTTAAGGAATAAAGCGAATAAAATGAACGATTCGAACGATTCGAATACACGAATAAACCGAACGATTTGAATAAACGAATAAACCGAACGATCCGAACGATTCGAATAAACGAATAAACGAATAAAACGAATGTTTGGAATGATTCGAATAATTCGAATAAAATAAAAATTAATAATTCAAATAAACGAATAAACGAATAAACGAATAAAATAAACCAATAAAACCAATAAATCGAATTAATTGAGTTGTATTACGAATAATTCGAATGAGTATTAGTATTAAGAATAAGAACTCTAGCTCATAATAAAGATTTTTTAAACAGGTTGCATTTCGTTTTAATTCTCTACAAATATTTGAGCAAACATTGTGAAATTTTATACAATCGTTTCAACCAATTATAATTAAATTCGCGTTACTATGAATTTTTAAAACATAAAATTTATTGAACCGTGATTAATAATTTTAGTATAATGCAATTTCTTGTGCATATATTCCAGAACCTAAAAAGCATTGTTCACATTTGAAATTTTCGGAATTTTTTAGTCTGTCATAAAATTATTTATGATGATTCAAATATTCTAAACTTATACAAATTATTATAGTTTATTGTTGCTTCAATTATTTTCAGTGGTCTGCAAAATCGTGATTTTATAAAAAATAATATTAAATTTCGAGTTGGCTCGAGCTAAGCATAAACTCGGCTCGGCTCGTTCAGAGCTTTAGAATTGGATTAACTTTTGTTTTTTATCAATACATTATTAATTAAGAGTTACAGATTTTTTCTCTAATTCTCTCTTTCCCTATATACATACATACATACATACGCATATACATATAATATACTTTATTGTGTATTCTGCGTGTAATATTGTTTGAATAACATTCATCTAGAAGTTGGCACCGCACAAAAATTCTTTAACCAGTTAATTTAGTCATGTGAAAAATTTTAACTGGTAATTTCAATCGTTCGTTACTTACATGTCTATTGAATTTTATTATTATGCACTTCATAGATACTAAATGATTACAGTCAAACAGATTCATGGTTCCAGCCAAAAAAATCCGTTATTATTGTTATTATTATTATCATTATTATTAAACAAAAAATAATAAATATTAATATATAATAAATGACAAATAATGATAATAAAATTTAATTGGGGTTTGGGCAAGGGATACCTTTATATGGATTATCTACATGCTGACAAATGTTATTATATAAATA